AGCCACCATCACGTCCGAAGCCATAGTAATTCGTGCGACGATGATGGACTAAGTGAGTCAGTTGGGCGCGAGACCTGCTGTAGGCCCAAGTCTTGTCTCGAAAACGTGTCGCGCCGTCCATTAACTGGGGTCTCCTAATATCGGCAAGTGAACTTATTTGGAAACGTTATGCGAAGTTGATGACCAAGAATGAAATGAAAGAAATATCGTTGGGGAAATGTGGATTTCTAATTCACAAATGTAGCTGATACTGTGAATTCCTGACTCATTGGTGTAACTGACACAATCTGTTTATTAGTTTTATATTTTGCTTCGCATTTGTAACCACGACGTTGGTTCAGCTTGCGACTAGTGACCATACTTAGGATGCGACATGAAATGCCGAACGGCGGTATCGAAAATGTCTCCCAGCCTTTATTACATGATCTTTTTCTACTTAATGACGATGCACATAGCTCAGAGATAAGGACACATTGTTTTAATGCAACATTAATTGCGTAATTGAATAAGTGCAGGCTGTTCGAGATCAACATGGGATATTTTATCTGTACCGGATTGCGTCCATTCAGTTATTCGCAAGTTGTACGTTTCCATTTTGCTTCATAAGCAAAATTATGGATAATCACAACTGCTTCAGTACAATTGGTTGTCAGCTCGCCGTTAAACAGCAATTTCAGCAATAGCCTTCTTCGTATACATCAATACCACCAATATGTACGCTGTCCATTGGTGAGGAACACTTGTAGAGTTTTGTTGTAGCTTAAAATTTTAGTTTAACCTTCCCAACATTACGTCTGCATTCGCTTTTATTCGTCTGCTCACTTATTCCTATCGTAGACCGTCGTGGTCGGCACTATTCGCCAGCTGACACTGGCGCTCATTTAAGTTCTCTATGCAGGACTGGTAATTCCCAGTTATACAAAACCCTTGTAAAGAGTAGAAACCAATGAAGCGATGAGCAACAAAGATAACTGCGTGCTGTCAAGTTGGAAATAATTCCAATGAAGGTGAACACAATGTAGTGAAACCAGATGCCGGAAAAAATGCGTTCTGATCTCCCTAATGCAATCAAGATTACACGACCGCAACATCGAATAGATACGAAGTGGCGAGTGACTGTTAAACGACCAAACCACAGCGTATTGTAGCCATTCCCGTTTCCTCTGGACGACAGTACCACATTATTCTGCGGACTACAAAAAGCTGTCCCATTAAATCAGTGTGGAATGGGCATTCAGAAACGACCGATCTTGGTATAAAACAACAAGTTTCGTCACAACCAAACTCGGTTAAACTGCCACCACAGGTCCGGAAAGGCGCTGAGTAACCTCCTCGACATAAAGGGTTCGCCAGCAATTTGTCACTCATGGTACATGCGAAATGTCTAAGACTTGATGTTCTTTCAATAATCAGTGAAGGGCATAGTGCGGAAAACTGCTGACGTCAGACGTGATATAGATCGCTGACTCATAAAAGAAAAGTCACAGGCTTGGCTGCTGCAGGATTTAAAGACGCGAAAGGCCGCCTGGCATTATCCCGATGAATTATGACTATGCGAATAAACTTAGCTGCGAAGATCTTTCCTAAGATATCAATTTTATGTTCGTTAATAGGCACGAACGGTGTCCTTGTCTGAAAAACAGGGGGTAAACAAGTTCTGCGTAAGAATTATATTTCGAAGTCGGGTAACAGGTGTCCAATTGAAAAGTGCGATCAAAGGAAGAACGCAACCCCTGCATCTAAACCCAGAGCTATGAATAGTGCCTATGGTTACAAATTACGATACTCACTGAGACTGGCTGCCGCCATCCAACCACGCAGTGTCCATTTCAATCAAATGTCTTACGCAGCCCTTCATTTATCACCGCTAGCACAAAAGTTTGAGCACTGAGAGAAACCCAAATGCCAAGTAGATGGTCTGTGAGGATCCCGTAGGAGACTAAAATACATACTGATTGATACAAAAGTATACTCTGTCACAAAAACAATGCATGGAGAACAAAGGGGTGGTATCATTTGTACAGCGATGGTAAATATATGTGTCAAATGAGACTCTGCAGGAATTCTAGGCCCGACTGAACGAGGTAGCGAAACTGCAAATTGTCTACGTAGCCCTCTAGAGCTGGACAGGCAAGCAGTTTTTCCGGAGAAAACAGTGGTTGGGCCACTGTTTGGTCTGCATGGGAAGGAGAAATGTTGGATAAAGGAACAATGCGTAAAACAATGCAGATAAAAAGTATAAAGTTTACAGCTATGGCACCGTTGCTGTCAGTTTCCTCCAAACACAACCAAATTAATTAGAAAATATCTGACCCGGAAGTGACCGAATTAGGTTCCAGCAATAGCGTCCTTGCAAGCTTAGTTCAATATAGTGGAACGAACAAGCGTGAAAAAGGCATCCACAGCACTAAACTACTTCGTACTGACGCTCCGCGGCCACCCAAACACCACCAGTCGCATGCAGGCCGTGGATACTGCGAGGTTACGAGCATAGACGCAACGTAAAAGCAGCCACCGATGGATTACAAAATAGACTAATAAAACACTAGGCCATTGATCGCTGAATGTGCAGGAAACGGCATAAAAATTCGACAGCAAAATTGGTAAAGCCTCCGAAGTTGACAACATCCCCTAAGTCGGCCGCTTTATATTTCAGTACATAAACGTTCACCATGTAAAACTTATGGGTCCAGACTTCATCCCTTTACGTTGACCATTTTGATTCAGTCCTTTGAATGGCCAACTTACAGAGGCCAAGCTTACAGAGGCAACTTACAGAGGCTCAGAGAACGGAAATCCTTGACGAAATATAAATGACGAGGATGAGATTTGCTTAAACGTCCATGTCCTAATCCGTCCATAAAATGGAGTTTCAGCGTTGCGGAGATCCGAATTCACTCGTTAATGCTTGCCGCAACAACAAGTCTCTCTTTGGACAGGAATTTCATTCAAACACCTCAAGCACAAATCTAACATTGATACTATACGAAAAGGGTTGAAATGTTAGACTGCATCGCAGTATAAGTTACAAAATGAAGAAAGGGACCTAATGATAGAGGATCAACACACCAGACGACTTAAGGGTCCGGTATTTTAATTTGACTAAAAAAGCAGTCAAACGCAGCTCAATAAACATCATAATCCGAGCATAAAAATGCAATGGTACTAGTAGCCTTGCCTCATATTACCAACATAATTATGATTGGAGAAAAAATGAGCAAAATGATTAACAACTTTAGGTGGTTTATTTAAAAGTTGCAAATGAATGTAAACGCGGTACGGATTTTGTGACCGTGTCATATCCCATGTAGTATGCAGCTAATGTCGTAGTCGGTCCCGAGGATCTCACCTACATGTACAAGGACAGAAGTATGGATAGCGTGGTTCCTAAGCAGACTGGATGCAAAGTTACCTGCTGTTCTTTCACCAGCAGTTATAAATAACTCCATCAGTAAAGACATCAATCGTAAGTATCATTTAACAGATATATTTTATTTGCTAATGTTATTTCAAGTGATTCGCTGTTGTTTGACATGCCCGGTATGGCTGCGCTTGATGTGCATGTTGACGAGGTGCCTACCTGTCTATTACCCACTAACTCGTCCACATTGGCTCCAGGAGACCGTTGGTCATTGCTGATGGGGACGGGATGCACGGTCCTTGTGGCCGTGCTAGGCTCAAAGAGTGGCTCTATGCACTCACTGCGAAGCGGACTACAGTCCAGCTACTGCCTTGTGTGCACTTGATATTTCAAATACAGCGTGCTTGTGTTTGCCTGTGAAGGAGTGTGGGCCGGCCCCGTTGATAAAACGTGGCTCCCACCCACATGCCTCCCGGTCTTATTCCATCGGGTTTACACTGGATATGGGGTGTGTGGTTGGAGCTGTGGGTGGTGCAGCGCAAGCCACCCATGGCCCTCTGTAGGCCTAGGCGTCCTGTGGCTATCCAAGCGGAGGTCGCAGTGACCGGTAAATCCGGAACTGCACGCGCGCGAGTGCACGTACTATTAGGCATATATTTTGCTTTGCGCTAATGCGTAAATTGATTGTGCAGCAGCTCGAAAAGTTTGTGTTCCTCAATCACGTCGGAGATTTAGGAATAAGTTCATGCATATGCCTATCAAAGCAGTGTTCTTCTTTACTCATGCTTTTTACCAGAAATGCATTTACGGTAGATCCCCAGTAGGTCGTCAGCAGTCATGTTCCTTTCTAATTGACATACTACACCGTCTAAATGCATAGCTTGATGAATTAAGATTTGGCACAAGATTTTGACGCAGCTAGGTGTAGTTTATCGCAATCACCTCTCAGTCAATTACGCTTCCACATGTCTGGAAACGCACCAGATAGCCTTTTCGACTTTCTGGGTCTCGTAAGTGATGCGCTTTCCTCGGACGCCTGCCGGAGTTCAACTCCACGATTCGCGGATGCCAGCAGCTCGTGACCCCACGCTGTGAATGACGGCGAAGGACCAGCATGACTGACGGTTAACTAAGATATAGCATGGTTCATCAGCCAATGTCATGCCAATGCCTGTTGGCGAAATTCGTTCGAAGAAACAATAACGAACTGATGTCACTATTGTGAAACATCTGTTAAATGTCTGGTGCTTTCGAGAAATAAGGCATAGACTTAGTAAAGTTAACGGGTTAGCTTTCATACACTGGAGGGACTGCTGGACTCTGCTGTCGTACAAGATGCACAATAATCGAACGATATTTCGCTTAGATTCACTGCACGTAGAAGTATTTGCACAGTAGCAAAATTATTTAACTGGGTTGTTGTAGAGTGAGCGGAGCGAGGCACGAAAAGACAAACACTTGGTTGTTGACATGGCAAGTGGAGAGCAGGGTTACGCTTGAACGCAATACGAAGTATAACACAATGGAGATAGTTTCGAACAGATAAATTCGGTGCGAATGATGTACAGCTTACAAATGGAACGAACCATGCAGCCAAAATTAAACTGTCACCTACCGCAGACGAGTACGGAAGACTTACGTGTGCGGCTAATGTCCCGTACCAAATCGCATATAAAGCTGCGGCCAAAAAGCTGAACAGGGTCGTCGTGACGTGAGGAAATGAGCCAACTATAAAAAAGACAAAAAAACAGGTGAGACTACAAATCTTATTGCGATAAAACGAACGTCTCTGGTGTCAAAATCTTGCGTGGGAAGCGAGAGGACAGCATTATTAACATGTATAAACAAGGTGGCGTCCCACAAAAACCACTGTCTGTAATAGGAGAATCTCGTAGAATCGACAACCAATTGCCAGGCCGGCTCATCTCATATGTAGAAAACCAATCACTAATTAGTCAGAATGAATTTGTGTGACTTCACGCCAAGACAATCGAACAGTGGTGTCGATCAGGGAAGTGCACTATGGTCATTATTTTTTCTAATCTACATAAATAACCTACGTGATCCCGTAAAGTCAGACAGTCCCAGGTACAGAGGAGGTCAAAAGAACCATTCACTTGTCCCTTACCAGCATGAGTTAAACTTGAAAAATACACATGAAAATTTCAGAAAAGCAACAAAAGTTTGGATGTGAGCGCTAAATGTCAAGAAGTTAAGCACCTCATTCGATTCGTGGTGCACAAGGTTAAGTATTCTAGTCTGTGCACCTTTTCCGAGCATATTTCATCTAATGTAGACATTCTCAACCTTTATTTAGTCATGGCTTCGTTTTGAACCATTCCATTTTCCCATGGCCCTCAACCTTGATCAAGACAATTTCAGCAGTCAGCAACGCCCAACAGACATAAATCTGTGATTTATAGTGGTCGTATTGGCATTTTCTGTTACGACTGCTAAATTTTCAACCCTAGTATCACTGTCCTTTCCCTTTTAAACCTTTTTTTAACTTTCACAGCATCCACATTCATTGTGCAACAACATCAAGCCACTTAACAGTAATTACACAAAAGCCATCATTGACATTCAAAATTGTATTTACCGTATATTACCGTGTATAAACTGTCAGTATGACGGCAACGTCAAAGTTGTTCAAAATCGTAAGTGCGTATATTAGCCGACCCCCCAAAAGTCAGCAAAAAAATATATGAAATTATATCGCACAATTTTGACTTCATCACTACCTGCTCTCAGTTGAGTGTGCTCAAGCGAAAGCTGCTATACTATATTGGTCAGTTCTGGCGAGCTAATGTGTCATGATCCCAGTTACTGCGGCACGGAGCTGTCAGAACAGATCTTAACCGCACTAGACAGTGTGTTGATTAGATGTCAAGTCACACGAAACAGGTAAGACAGCCGACAATATGGGGTAAGTTGAAAGTGCATGTCAGACATCGCCTCGCATAGTCGGGGGCCTCATGCATCCGAATTGTAGTGGAGCAACAGGTGAGAGGCAATTTTACGATCAGTGGCGTGGGACGAGGTTTTACTTTTAATGTATTAGATTTATTAGCATAGCATAATGTATAAGCGTTGTGATACGCTAACCAAAATAGCGCGAAGTGTTTGTGCGGGCTCACGCAAAACGATGGATGGAAGAGAGTGACTGAATATAGTTTGGGGAAAACGAAGCGGTGCCCTATTAAAGAAACCATCTATGCTGGTTACGGCACACCGAACTGAGAACGTGGAGAAACGATGCCATGAACTGAAGTTGTCCGTGGCTTTAATTCCCGGTGGACTTCTATCAATCTTGCAGCTACTGCATGTCTGTCTCAATAAGCAATGTAAAGATAGGGTTCGGGCCAGGTGGATTGAATGGATGGCATCATCTGATTTAACCTTGACAAAGGGTGGCAGTTTGGAAAAGGTTGGGATTGTTACAATTGCAGAGTAGGTGGAAGTAGCGTGACTTTACATTTTATCACAAATTATCATCTGATCATTCAAATAATGCTGCATCTGTGTTGCTGTGGTTGGAAATGAGGACGACGCCATTTTTGGGGATCACGACAACGGCGAGAGCAAAGAAGTTGAAGATGACGATGTTCACCCTGAAGTCCCAATGCCAGACGATCAGTTCCAGTAAGTGTTCAGAGATTCTGACTCGGATTCTAGTTTCGAAGGATACGTGCTGTTCTGTCATGTCATTTTTCAATGTTATTGTGTGTTGTTGTTCCATACTGTATAACCAGTATGTTTTTGTAACTGTCATACGTCGCGAAAGTCAAATGTGCAATATGCCGAGAATTTCAACACAAACATAAGCTGTCTACCTATAGGCACTTCAAATGCCCGTCTGGGATACCGTGTTACTATCGAGTGGTGTTATAGCAAGATAGGGACATAGATGTGCAGTGCATTTCTGGGTGGATTTTGCATGCGATTCTTTTAAATTGCGCATAACCTTTGTATAAGCCGACGCGCACTCCACTACAGACAGAAAATCTCCAAAATTCCCCGGCTTATACACCGTAACATACAGTAATTATTGTTGGTTTTTAAGTGTAGAGCAAGTCATAAATTAGGAAGTGCAGTAACTTTGTAACAATGTTTGGAGGGATATTACTGCGAACCTTGAGGCTGATGTCCTTGAGTAACCTAGCTTATGTCAAGCTGCAGACTTGACAGAAAAAGTCGAATATCCCTCTTACTGCGATGTCCAATCTGTTGCTACATTTCCTTAGAGAAACTACTCCGCTGAATCCATACTAAACTAAGTACGTGGATGGGAAAACAAGGAAATAAATTTCGACTATTTCCCACGGCCTGGGATATCTGTTAGAGGCGTCAGTGTTTATTCAAATATCCCTTATATATTGCGCGAATTTGGCTCTTACCAGTGTGCCACTTTGAAGCGCTTTGTGACTTTCCTGAATGTTAACTTCAACGCTGCAAGGCTGTAAATCAAATGGACCTAAAATCCAAATCGGAATTTCCATATCAATCAGGCCATGAAAACGGTCTTTCATTTCTTTTCGGAGTTTTTGTCATTGACTGCCATAAACAACCAAGACTTCATCCTACAGTTCCTCTGTGACTGTAGCGAGAATTGGAACTTGTGAAAATTCCCGACGTCCGATGTTTCGAGCATACACTTCCAGTATTTTAAGAGAAGCGATAATGGATTCTTTGCTTGAGATGAGATTACCCGACTAGCCTTGAAGTGTTTTACTTAATTGGTTGAGTTTTGCAAAAACATCAGCTAGATAAAACACATCTGGCTTAGCTGTTAACAGTTTTCTTTCATAATAAGTTGCAGAAAGGAATTTGATGATGGTGTCCCATCGTGCAACAAAACGGCGAATACAGTTGTCACTGGAGAGCCATCTAACCTCTCTAGAAAAGTGTAGAGTCTGGAAATCATCACGATTCTCCTTACACAACTGACGGAAACAAAGACCTTAAAGGAGGTGCGATTTGATATTGTTTACTACTAGTTAACACTGGATCGTTTAAGTGCCCTCTCAAGTTCTTAGCGACTAGATACTCCCGACGATTTCATGGTGAATTCTATGAGCAGAAGAGAGAACATTTTCAAAATGGACAATGAATCTTTTATATCTTCCGACCGTTATAACAGCACCATCTGTTGCACATGCAACTATGTGCTGTATTGGGATGGTGATTTCAGTCAGATAGCTATTGACTACATCAAATGTAGACTGACCATTTGCATGTGTTTTAACTCACCTGGCAAACAACATCTTTTCCACTAATTCATTATAAGTGAAGATTCGGACATATGTCACGGGAAGAGTGTCGTTGTCAGGTAAAGTAGATTCATCTAACTGTAATGAAAAGTATCTGGACTGTAGTAAAGTAATCAAGGTACTTTCCATGTGCTGAGCCATCTCCTCTATTCGCCTAGATATGGACGAATTGCTGAGCGGAAGGGCTTGAATTGCTTCTTTTGGATTCATATTCAGCAGATCAGACAGTAGTATTGATACTGAAGGCAAGCTAATCTCTTCCCCAACATTGTGTGGACTACAATTATTGGCAGTCAACTTGCTGATTTTAGAAGAGGCTGTAAGTCCGTCCGCAATTTTTCTTGCCCTGTCAAAATCCATTGTCTTTAAAGTTGATCTGTTTTCGAAACTATTCCGCAGCTATCTAAACGAAGCTAAGACTTTCCGTTTTCGTCTTAGGAACATTTTCCAAATGATTTTTCAGTTTACTTGGTTGCTTACATTCATTTGAAAGTATTTTGGCAAATTAATCACATAGGTAGTGTGGGGGTTGGAGGTGATACGATAAATCCAAATGACGAGTGTTCCACTGAGTACTGCCAACACTTGTTCTTTGCCAAGCAGCTCATTTTTGAAGTGTCATTGTAAATTACCAATATGTAATATATATATATATATATACTGCTTTCGTATCATTTGTCGTATATTTATATTATGGGTATTAAATAAGGCCAAGCAAGCAGGTGGTATGAATGATTGGTGGCACAAAATTTATTCTCGCTTGACTGTGACATCATAAGCTATGACATATGGTAAGCATAGTTGTAACATCTGTTAGTGGCTACAAGGTTAAAATATAAAAGTGTAGTAACACTGTTATAGTCAACCCAAAAGAGGTTTCTGAGAATGACTTTGGAAATATCGTGGATAATTAAACTGACTGAAGAAAAATTCTTGATAAAAGCCAACGAAGAAAACAAATAGAACTTAGATGACAATGCTCACTGGACACATTCATTACAGGAAAGTTGGAGAAAACAATGGCGACATGTACGATGAGGGACAGAAGAGACAAACACGGAACATAATATCGGATAATCTAAGAAACCGAAATGGGAGAATCAAAAATAAAACTAATGACGTGTTGGCAAGGAATTTGACTATTGGGATTAGTATTCTTGTTTTCGCCTTATTTTATTTGTTCTCAACACAGAAATCCGATGTCTACTCGCTAACTTGAAGACTTCAGCCGAACCGTATCTTAAGAAAGCGTTATAGCGCGTCCTAGTTGCTTGGACTCAGTCGGAACGAACTAAAGTTCTTCAGAGGTAGTACCGCACGCGCGCAGAGTAGCCACTGGATTTCGGAACATTGAAGGCTCTGCTCTAGAAGTTAAAAGTATACGCAAGCTGAGAATGGGGACGAAAAATGCGTAACATAGGGCTACTGCACTGAGAACTAAGGAGAAAAAGATTGATC